GAGGGAGGAGACTGCGGCGGCGGCAGCGGCTGGTGGGAGCCCGATGTGGCAGAGGGGCAGCCGCCGCCGACCGGGAGGCGGAGGGCCCGCGAAGCTCAGAGCTGGGGATACCGCCGCCATCCTCTTCGCCTACCCCACAGCCCTCCTAGACGCGCTCCCCGCCTACAGATCCACCCCTCCCAGCCCGTGCAAGCACCCGGCTCGTCGCCTGCTGATCCTCCTTCGACACAGGCTCACCGCGGAGGCAGCAGCGAGGTGTCCGATTTGGGCACGTGAGGCCCGCGACCCGGGGCGGCGGACGCCAGCTAGGGCAGGGCCATTGGTGGGCTCCAGGATGGGGAGGGGGGATGGGATGGACTCCTGCTGGAGATAGGGGGTGGAGGCGGGAGCTGGGTGAGGCTGGGGAGGGGAGTGCGATGGGAAATAGGAAAAGTGGGTGGCGTTAGGAGCCAGGCAAGAAATGAAGGTGAGCCTGGAGCAGTGAGGGTACCGGATGCCAGAAAGCGATTGTGGGTAGACAAGGGGCGTATGGGCAGCAGGCTGGGGTATCCAGGGCGGGAGGACAGTGAGTGCGTGCGGATCAAGGCGGTGAAGGAATAGATAGGCGCTTTGCAGGGCATTGAGAGTGGGCGCCAGGGACGGGTGGTGGAGGCAGTGGGCTCTGAACAAGGAGGTAGCCCGCCCCCTCCTGCAGAGTTCCTAACCCTGGCCAGCACCACTGCCGCTGCCGCCCTTTCCCGCAGTCTAAAGGAACCTAGGAGGGAGAGCACTTGCAGGCACACAGCCAGGATTTCCAGCACTGCTGCCAGGCTCATGGGGGAAAATTTAGGTTCTGACGCAGGGTACAGAGACACGTCGCTGTTGGGAGAACTTCACCTTATGGCATACTGAATGTTTCTCTCTTATCTTCTCTCCTCCCCCTGCAGGCATGAAGACCCCCAACGCACAGGAGGCCGAAGGGCAACAAACCAGGGCAGCTTCGGGACGGGCTACTGGGTCCACAAACATGACGAAGAAAAAAACCTCCCAAAAGAAGCAGAGAGGCAGACCTTCGTCCCAGTCCCGCAGGAACATCGTGGGCTGCAGAATTTCACATGGATGGAAGGAAGGTGATGAGCCCATCACCCAGTGGAAAGGAACCGTTCTGGATCAGGTGCCTATAAATCCCTCTCTTTATCTGGTGAAATATGATGGAATTGACTGTGTCTATGGACTGGAACTTCACAGAGATGAAAGAGTTTTGTCTCTTAAAATTCTTTCCGATAGGGTGGCATCATCTCAAGTGGGTGATGCCAACCTTGCAAACACCATAATCGGTAAAGCTGTGGAACATATGTTTGAGGGTGAGCATGGTTCTAAGGATGAATGGAGGGGAATGGTCTTAGCCCAAGCACCTATCATGAAAGCCTGGTTTTATATTACCTATGAGAAAGATCCTGTCTTGTACATGTACCAGCTTCTAGATGATTATAAAGAAGGAGACCTCCGTATCATGCCAGAGTCCAGTGAGTCTCCTCCAGCAGAGAGGGAGACAGGAGGAGTTGTAGATGGCCTGATAGGTAAACATGTGGAATATACCAAAGAAGATGGCTCCAAACGGATTGGCATGGTCATTCACCAAGTGGAAGCCAAACCCTCTGTGTATTTCATCAAGTTTGATGATGATTTCCATATCTATGTCTATGATTTGGTGAAAAAGTCCTAACTGTTAGGGTAAACTTTGCCACATTTGTGAGAACAAATGTATACTTTGTAGACGTGCAAAACAATGTTGCTTTTCAGTGTATTGAAAGCTTAAGGGTCCCTGTTAATTCAACATCTTTGCCAGCATAACTGTTGTTTTTTTTTTTTTTTTTTTTTTTTTTTTTGAAAATACAAATTTATGTGGACATGACATGCTGTGTGTAAGGACTTTGTCATGTTGAAAAGATTGGGTGTGTTTGGTGGATGGGGCATGAAAGGAAGGGACAGCTGTAAATGCAGGCTGTGAATAAAGTTCAGCTAGTATCATAATCAGTCATCTAAAAATGGAATAGGACTTAGCTGGTCTGGTCTAGAGAGGGGGGAGGAGAAGGAACTAGAGATGGGCTGTAGAGGGAGGGAGAAGGGGAGGTGACTGCTTAGGAAGAGGCTCCCTGGAGGAGGGATGGCCTAAGAGAGAGAGGCACCCAACTAGGAGGGGGTAGAGAATAACAGAGAGAGAGTGAGATCTTGGGGCTTAGAGGAAAACAAACAGAATGCCTTGAGTAGAGAGGGTCTCAAAGTAGCTTAGAAGAGGTCCAGAGCAAGGGGCAGGGGGAGAGAAAGTTGGCAGGAATCTGGAGGGTACTCAAAGGGAGGGTCTGCGCATGAGTAAGGAGTCAGAAGGGGAGGAACACTGAGGAAGGAAGAATTCCAAGCAGAAAGATTGACAGAGGAAGTGAGAATGCAGAAAAGGAGGTGTGGGGAATGGGGCCCAGGAGACATGGGAAAGCCCAGGAAAAAGTTGGACTTCTGGCAGTATCCACATTGCCTTCCCCTGGCTCTGTGCAGAAAAGATGTAACAGCTGTCAAAGAAGCCAAATGGGTTGGAAGTTCCCTAGAATGGCATTTTGACAGGGATGACTTGAGTTAAGTAGGAGCCAACTTTATACCTAAAAGGCTTTTCTTATTTCAGGGAGCTCATGCCACACCTGCCGAGCAGAACCCAAACCCTCGGCTTAAACACACTGACCTGACACCCCATGAGCTGGGGGCTGTAAGCAGTCTCCTCACTTTTCCCAGAGGACCAGGTGCAGTAATCTTGGACCCGGAGGTCTTGGTTCATTTCCCTTACACTGGATAAACAATTCTTGTGGGGCGTAGGTAAGCGGAGTGCTCAGGACTTAAGAGATGTGCCTCCTTGCGTTTGGAAAGTATTTTATCCAAAAAAAATTAGAACCTTACTGAAGTCAGGTACAGGAGTCCCCTCACTGTTCTTTCTCCTACTGGACTGTGCGTTGCCTCCCTAGAGAGGAGGGGCATCAGAGGATTGAGCCTAATGTTTATCTCAGGACATGGGGAGTACTTGACAGTCCATGCCTAGCTCAGCAGCTGCCTGAAACCACAGGTGGTTCCACCCAATGCTTCACTGAATGGAGGTCTGCTGCCTCTAGAGTCCCTATTCAGGCTATACCGTGACAAAGCTGGTGGCTACTGACCCTTCACAGGTACCTCCTGACCAGCCTTGCCCACCTCAAGCACACAGGGAAGCTGTGATGGAAGTTTGTGCAGCTCTGTTTCCAGGTGAGATGGATGGCATGGGGCAGTCGGGCCGGGAGTTGTGACTTTGTATAACTAACTCTTTCAACTGTATAATGCCACATAGAGGGGCGGTGGTTGGTGGGGAGAGGGTGCAGTGACCCCAATAAAGTCCCTCAGGGGTATGGCGCTCTAGCACATGGGTCTGTGTCCTTCTCTTTTTCTCCCCCTTGTCTTTCTCCAGTCATGTTGTGGAAGTTTCCTTCAAAACCTTCTCTCTGATTTCCCCACCCTACACTTCACTAAGATATGCCCCTGCCCTCAAACAAAGAGTTAAGGTGAGCTCACTGCTCAGTCTTCCCTAACTCCATACATTGGGGGGTGGGGGGAAGGGCCAGGTGGTGGCAGGGAGCTTCTAGAATTTGAAAAAAAGTGGTAATTCTAGTTCATTCTCTACACCCAACATGACCTGAAACTGTTTGCCTGAAGAATCACACAAGGCAAGCCCACCTTGCAGGGACTGGTTTTCTTTCATCACACAATTTAGTCTAGCAAACACCTGCAGGCCACCCATGGGCCAATTTCAGTCAGGGGTCATGCTTTCTTCAATCCTGGTGTTTTCCATTTTTAAATTAGTTACTTAGACATTTGGGAGATTTCGCATTACAAAAATCCATATTTCTGGCCCACCTCAAAACAAAATAAAACAAAACAAAAAACAAAACAATAAACTGAGAATTAACATTCCACATTCCAACAAGGATACAAGCATCTGGGTCTGAGGAAGGGCTTTGCCCATTTTAGACTCTGAATGTTCTCTCAAACTAGCCATACCCCCAGCTGGCCTGATTCACTCACTGGAATAAAATTCCCAGTTGTCCCCTGAAGGCATTTGCATTTGTAGCTTTGGGGCTAGACCCAGAGGAAACTGCCTAGCCCCACTTTTGGCGTAAGCTCACCCCATTTGCTTTTTTTTTTTTATTACATTTTTTAATGTTTATTTATTTTTGGGAGACAGAGAGACAGAGTGCAAGCAGGGGAGGGGGAGAGAGAGAGAGACACATAATCTGAGTAGGCTCCAGGCTCTGATCTGTCAGCACAGAGCCCAACACGGGGCTCGAACCCACAAAGTGCAGGATCATGACCTGGGCTGAAGTCGGACACTTAGCCAACTCAGCCACCCAGGCACCCCCCAGTTGTTTTTAATTCATTTGCTTTATCTTCATCCCACCAATACTTTAGGTAGGCTCTGTGCCAGGCAGTCTTCAGGCTCAGGTACTGGTGATATGGTAATGAACAAAATAAATGAAACAATCTTACCCTGGTGGAGCTTTCATTTTAGTGCGGGAGACAGACAGTAGCCAAGGTACAATAAGTGAAATGTAAAATATTGTCAAAGTGGTAAGTGTGAAGAAAGGAAAAATAAAGCAAGGGATGGGGAATTGGAATTCCAGGTGTGAGGCTGAAATTGGATAGATAGAGTCCAGGGAAGGGCTCACTGAGAACATTACTTTTGAATAAGGACCTGAAGGCAGTGACAGGACCAGTCCTGTGGCTGTCTGGGGAAGGAGCATTCCAGGTAAGAGGGACAGCAGGGCAGGAGTAAGCCTGACATAGTCAAGGAACACCGAGGATACCAGCATGGCTGGAGCTGAGAGAGTAAGGTAGAGAATATCAGGAAAGTGAGTTGAGAGAAATGATGGGGATCTGGCAGAAGCTGATAGCTTAGAGCCTTGGAAGTCCTAGAATGGAATTTGG